TATTCGTCATCAGAGAACTTTTTAAAGGAACTGATGTTTCCCTAGGGATTTGAAATCACATCACCAGAGTCACAGTCTGTATATTTACCATTTAGCTACTCTGAGTATAACTAACCTCCAGAGTATTTGGGATAGTTGAACTACTTGATCAGCGAGCAATAAACACAGTCATTTCACTTTCTGCTTAATGATGACGAAACTTTTACATTAATTCATTTAACTCAGTCTGACAGTTGAGAAAATTAGATTGGCATGTGAATCTCTGTGTATTGATTACATGAAAGCATCGCAATGTGTACTGTTGATATAAACAAACAACTGGGTCCCTGTAAAGATTGTAGCAGTTTAAGTTTCTAGTCATTCAGAATACAAATAAAATACTTCTTTCGAAATTTAATTAGAAGAACTGTTCTTTGTCAACTTTCAAATGCATATACTTTACAATTCGATAAAGAGTTTTACTATAGTATGTATTTATTTAAACTATTTATTGGAAATTAACACTCGTTAAAATACCTAGAAGTGAATTCTCACATGATTCTCTGATTTTATTTCAAGAAGTTGAGCTTCTTAGTATGTTGTCATGTTTTGGTTTATGGTAAATTCTAAACTATGATTAAACATTGTCTAATGATCCAGCATTTTTCAGTGGATTACTTCCTACAACCTTGTAATGAAAGATCCCTTCAGACTAGATTGCTATGCTCGAATTTATGCTATACATTCGAAAATATCTTGAAGGATTCAATGAATTTGTTATAATTTAAAAGAACTGGAAAGTAAACTTTTATTGATTCAAAATCATAAAGAAATACATCCTTCAAATAAACTCACAGATTTACAACAGAAGTTTCAAACTACTCATTATTACATTTAGTAGTACATCATATATTCTTGTACAGAAGCAATATTCATCATCATCTCCTTAGAGTTTTATAGGATATGTATGAAGCTTGTTTAAACAAGAAATACTCTTTAATAAGAAATAAATTTGTCATTTGTACACGTGATTATTCATAAAATTTATTTGAAATAATTTACAGTAATAACAATTTTCGACTGAAGGAACACGTGCTTACACATAAGTTTATGCAGTAGGCATAAGGCAAGGGAATATAATATAAGTTGATCATTGAAAAAGCAAAATCTCATTAAGCTCTATGCAAAAGACTAAATGCGAGAATTATATACGTGGATTATATTTCATAAATGCAATAAACCATTGAACATTTTTGATTACTGAATCCAAATTATATATATATATATATATATATATATATATATATATATATATATATATATATATATATATATTCAGAAAAACACAAGTTGGTTGGTTACGTAATTAGATCTCAGTTTAAGTAGAATAATGATTTATGTGATATGAACTAGTTTCTATGTAAAAAAAAAACTACGCAATACATATTTGTACTAGTTTAGTTGTTCAAATTAATAATGAGATATTCATATTTTGTAATGCCTTTTTGAGTAAACATTGAAATATAGAAATTTGACGAACAACACTTCAACATAATTGCCTTTTTTAACTTACATAAATAATATTTACGATTGCTTCTATTTAGGTAAACCTGTTCTCTCTTTATGAGTTGAATAATTTAGAAAACTGCATCAATATGCAACACAGTGAAGTGCTCCAGTGATGCTCGAAATGGAAGTTCGAGCATAACACTGCCAAATGTGGATGGATCTGCTCTAGGTGATCGTTTACTCAAGCTACACCTAAGCAAATGGTACGGTGCTGTCTAAATTTCTCCTTCTCAGGACAGTTATCTGAATAGGCCTTCAAGTCTCAACGTCTTCTGGGTTGTATAATTCGTGTTCGACTATTTCTAGAATACTGCACGTTTATTCTGAATAGTGTTCGCATAGAGGAAAGTCAAGGTTGGAATCTATTCAGGGACGATTTACACAACGCGTTCTTGGAACTGATTTCACTTTAAATTATCAATCCAAATATAATAAATGTGTACTTGACTCCTTATGAAAGAGGAACCTTCAAATACAAGTAGTCTTTTTCTTCAAATTATTTAGTAAACTGTGTTTTGCAACCAATGAGTCTATTCGATATAAATAAACTACTAGGTTATAACCTCTATAACCCATTCTTTATTCGCTGCATCTACGACGCCTACTACTCCTCAGAAAATAGGCCATTGAATTAAAGTTCAAAATGATACAACTGTATACAACAAAAGTAAGGAATTATATTCCAGGTCATTGTTTTTATACTTCATCAAAATGAACGTATCAAAAGTAACAAGGGTGTTGACTTTCTGTTAGTGAGTGGCTTTACCTAAAGAAAGGGAAAGCTATTATTGACTAGAAGAAATTATACAAAAACTCATACAGAATGGTCTAGGTCATATCGTCCAATGAAGTTTACTATTGTGAAAAAAACAGCCAGCAGATAAATATCATGTTCCTGACAAAGTTAATTTAAACGCAAAAAAAGTAATTAGTATAATTTAAGATCGAATCACTTTATTTTTAGAAATGTAGCATCAAATTAGAGATACAATATCCACTGTTCGTCATATTTAGTGTCATCTCAACTTTCGTGTATTATTTAGATAAAACAAACTGTTTAGTGCATGTGACATGATTAGCAGTTGTTTTTATCAAACCTAAATTCATATTATACACTAAATCGACTGTTCTACATGGTAATGAGCAGAACTAAAAACAGGATTTAAATATTCTCTACGGTTTAGAATATAGGATTGTTAGAGCATTGTCTTAACTCGTGTATCAATAGAACATCCAGGACCTTGTGGCTTTTGTTTACACATATCGACTCGATTCGTGTTATCAGGTTAAATAAGATTATACCATTTGTCTATATCTTGATAAATGATAAAAGTATGGTTTCGTATGTGTGTATCTTCAACAAATTGCATAAACTGTGGTAGACTTCAAATTTATCCAACATTATGAATAATTACAAACATTTCAACTTTACCAATATTGAGACAAGTTTATTCAAGCATCGTGCAACAACAGGATTGGATATTTTATCTGAACCAGTCCAAATATTCAATAATATTAAACGATGTAGAAATTTAGCTTTGTAGATACATCAGTTGGCAGATTTCGTATCAGTGTCAAATATTACATTTGCTCTTGATAGTCTATTCAACTCATCATTTCAGTTTTGAAGACACCTGGACTGAGATATCAACTAGACTGTTGCACTATGGAACGTCCACATTTTCATTGTGGAGAACTTCCATAAAATGAATAGTAAAGGAAAGAGGTTTTTACAAAGGCTTTTAATAACTCAATAGTACCTTTAATCCGAACATACAGAGATTCACCATTTCTTCAAAAAAGAAATATAACCTAAATGAAACCAAAAAAATAGAATAGTTCGTTGTGTGGATCCGTTACACAACAACATATCATATCATATTGTTCGTTTGATGCATATATTTACTGACGTGTATTGCTCAATCTACACTAGTCATTTTAATACTCACCCATTTTTTCCAGACATCATTAACGGAGGATATTAAATACCAGTCAATTCATTTTCAATGTTCCATTGTCTGGAAATATATCTAGTTCGAAAGGGAGTCATTTGTTCGACAATTATAAATGGCATGAACTGATTTTAACTTTATACAGTCACTCTTACCTAAAAGGCATACTGAGGTTTAATTAACTGCCTAATAACAGATACAGACAAACTTGTAATCTGTTCTATTATAAATAAATGCTATTTGTCATTAGTCTAATTTATACCAAAAACTAATTTGATGAAACTTAACGATAATATATACTAGTCCAACAGTTTAAATCATAAATTGTCGTATTTGTTTTATTGACGTATTAGTTTGTGTGGTGAATCAAGGTTATTTTGAGATATCTACAGTGCAGTTTGTCATAGTAACGTATAAATGATTATTTGAAACAAGAAATCCAAAATACACTACGTATGCATTAGTTTACAGTAAAGCTTAGTACCGGAAATATTAAAATATAGGAATGTAAACTTTCCTTAAAGTTTAGCTTTTTGATCAAATTAATAGAATATCTACATATATTGGGTATTTATCTGCACAATTTATGTAGAACAGTCACTTATATATATATACAAAATTACTTAAGATTCAGTCGGTTTCTTTGAGAAACAGTCGAAACAACGGATGTTATGAATTTTGCTGTGATACAACTAAATATGAGAAGATGGAATTTCAACACTTAGAACTGTAGAATAAGGAAATTGCGATATTTGTCTTTGTTAGGGATGTTAGATCCCCCAGAACTCACTTGGGAAAGGTCCTAATTTTGGAATTTTATGTTTTCGCGCATAAGTTTCTTAGTTGACCTTGAGACTATATTTTCCGCTCGTAAAACCCTTGACTATCATTGGTTGATGGATTATTTTAGTACGCTATTTTGTGGCTCTCCCATGGACGTTTCTATCATGTATAAATAAACTCGATTTGTGTGCTTGTCAACCTCATATTTTCTGGATGTTTGTAGAATACACTTTCTTGGCCTTATCGAGACTTCTTGATCTAATTAGCCGGACTGAGGACAAACGGATTAGAATAGCCTATCGTGTCGCTGCATTACCAACTAAGGTGAACTCGTAATAGTTTTAAGCATTTCAGTTGACGAGAATATCAGTTTTCTAATATGCTAACTCGAAAAATACTGGTTATTTGGAATATTTTCAAAATTGTACTAGTTTTTCAAAACAATTTATTTTGAACACCCTATCCGTTTTCAAGTCATCGTTAATTATCATGATTTTCGATCATAGAACGAAAAATATATTATGGGCCAGGTTTAGTTACAGATGAAGACAGGTTCCTTCAATGGAAATTGTGTAATCAACTCATTCATACATGACATTAACATTGACAGTTGACTACGTCAACTGAGAAAATCGATAAATTTGTTGTTTTCGACAAATGTTTTGTTGCTTTATTTTTGTGAAAGTAAATAAATACTTTAAATAATCATGATAATAATAATAATAATCTGTATTTACAAGAAATAGCAACAATGCCAACTTTAACAACAACAACAACGAAAACCATGAAACAAGAAAATTACATGTATATATATATAAATATATATCAATATTGAAATGTACAAGGTAGAGAATTCTCAATTAACAGAAAGGAATTATCATAGTTCATCTCATCTCATTTATATTCCCGCGTATTTTATCAAAACAACAAAACAAAACAAATCGAAAAGAAAAGTTACTTTTGAATTTCAAACAATAACATCTTGATCACCTGTCCATACACGACATTTATCAAATAGATAAATGATGCCTAAACAAATACTTGATGCTAAAAATAATGTAACTGGCCAAAAAATTGCATGAAATACCGAAATAAATGTATAAAATTTATACAATAATGCTTCATCTTCATGAGTTGCATGTACATAACAACGAAAATGACGTTGCAAGCGAATACGTCGTTGAAATTTCTCTACCCATTCTGTATTATCCATATCACGATGATGACATGCACTGGTAGCGCACTGCATGTTGAGAAAAAAAAGTCAAAAAAAAAAAAATAATCGGTATACAAGTAAAGTGAATTGTAAGTGGGAGAACATCAAGTTTAATAATAATTCTGTGAAATATTAGTTATCAAGGCTTATTGTTGTAGAAGAGTCTTAAATAGGCGCCCAATGTTTTCTAATTTTCAATGATGTTGTAGCTGAGATCAGTTTGTTATTTTTAGGTTCGTCACTGGGTTTACTTGAAACTTTTACGAAGTATCAAGCGAGTTCTGGGGATCTAACGTCCCGTTAGTTCATTTTAACATCAAAGTTGGATTAGGAGTGTTGTACATTCGTATCCAACTAATATTTGACTTTTGTTATAGAGTTGCGAAGATTATTGAGTTTTATTGAAATCATAGAACGATCATTGTTAGACTACCATTAGAAACCTGGTAACAATGGACGACCTTTACGTCCTAACATAAGACACACCAGCACTGCACATCCACGACCCCTGTAACTCGCAGGATTCGAACCCAGAAGCTCTGGTCTTGTGAGCGAACGCCTAACCTTTGGTCCACTGAACCGTCATCCAACGGTGTTTATGATTAACTTTGATTAATTCAAGATATTTTGAAACCTCAACTCTTGTCTTCGCTAGATAACTGCCTACACCCGAAAGCGCTGAACTTCTCTGATCATGGCTTTTCACTAGAAATTCGAGAATTTCTTCACAAAGCTAGCACATTTTTATGATTTTCATCATATAGTTGTGTATAATGTGGAGTTTTTTTGAAACCATGGATCGATGCGCACTGCTGGTGAGCCACATACTAGGACAAAACAGCCATCGAGTATTTCCAGGTTTTGAATGGTCGTCTAACTATGATCAAATTTATAATATATTTATAATATTTATAATATTTGACAATTAATATTTGGGTTTGTAGTGATTTAAGAATGTTATTAAAATCACTAGCTGACTTAAATGAGACAACTATTAGGGCTCCTTGGCAATGTGTATTCATGACTTCACTTAAGATCAAATCCAGTACCGGTACATCTCTAGGTGAAGGATCAATCTTCAGACTACATAGATGTGATCTGATTGTTCAAGTGTCTAACTTTCACCAATTCATCACATTGAGAAATCATCATGGATTATCTTCGGTAGGTAAGTGTCACACATAATACTAATCAACTCAGAGCTACTTACTGTTTCCAATTACTTACAAGTTTATCAATGCGACTTTCCTTACCTGTTAAATGTTCAATTTATTAAGTCTACCGACTGAAGAAGAATATTTTGTATTTTATTACATTTAAGTAAATACGTATCCTCTTCTGAAGTCAAGCGTGTATCTTCATCCAACTAGTCATATCCAATGTGATATGATCAATGTTGAATGAATACACATAATTTCCGGAAAACATTTGTTTTATTTAACTTGTAACTTACAGTAGATTGTTTAAATTGTTTAAATGCACTACTTTAAATATATACGCATTTCTAGGCCATGATAGTTTTTTTTCGTCATTAGTTTCTATTTTTTTACTTAATGCTCTGATTTTTATAGATAATATATCTTAGATCTTTAAGATTAGGATAATTTATTGCTAGTATTGTCAATAAAATTCTTATCCTCATATTATTTATTAGTTTAACAATGATGCATGTTTCATTGTTCATAAATGTAACATTGAGTGTAAAATTTTATTTTATTTATTATTGAAGCTGTTGTTAAAATAGTATAACTATTAGTCAAAAGAAATGATCAAAAACTTGTTATTAAGAAAAAAATTTGAAAAGTTTCACCTGCTACTGATTTACAATTATGTTATCAGTTATCTTAAATGTTTTAGTTAAAGATTGTGTTTTTGATCAACTATAGTTTGCTGCCTATCAAGCTTTAAATTTTTAAAAATCAGTTTATCCATTTAAATGTGCAGTTTTACTTGGAGAAACATGAAACTCAAATACACTCTAGATTTTCTCTTTCCTTTTTAATTGATTTTTACTCGTTGTTCATGACATTTCTAAATAATATTTTGAAATTTTGATATTTCACGAACGAACCTATATAAGTTAAACAACCACTGAAAACCTCAAAGTACCTGAGAGGTGTTCGGTATCAGTACGAGATTCTTTGTGAGTGTTCATGTTCATGACCCAACCACTGGACGAAATCAAGATTAATAAGTCTCGATGCAAAAGCATAATATTTAGGCTGAAATGAAATACTTCGGTATACTATTTTAACTTTAATCATTCTGTGATATTGGGCAACCGTCTTCTATCATCAACTGATGTGTATTTGCACATTACTTATTTTAGTGTTCATTGCTCTCCAATGTTTTCAGAAGTTAAATGTTTGTCAGTTCGTTATTTCAATGAAACTTTACAATCACATTATTTTCTAATTCTTATGTATTTCGAGTAGAAATTTTAACTGAAACAATTTTACATTTAAAAAAATCTTGTTAAACGTTAAGTTTGGCTACTCAAACTTCTGGTTGACTTATTTTTCAATATCTCAAATATCATAAGACGTTTTCTTATATTGTATAACTAAAAAAATCTACAATTTAGTAAATTAATTAATGTTAGGCATCCACATCACTGACTAGAAGTTAGGCTTTCTTTTCATGATCTAGAAGTTCTGGGCTCAATGTGCGGTAGAATCACAAATCTAAACAGCTATGAAACAGATGTCTAGTGTTTTCCAGTTTACATCATTGTCTGGCTAAGATTGTCGATCCATGGTGTACATGATGAAAAATCTAATTTCGCTTATACCCCAACATTTGACAATCACGTGTTAAATTAAATTCAACTCACTGAGTGATTTGATGATCATCAGCTTAGCACAATCTGTGTTTACGATTAGTCAACTTCTGTATAGAATTGGTTATAGGTTGAAATGTAACACCACGAATTATTCTATTTCATCTTTTCAATTAATAATAATAATAATAATAATAATTAATTCATTAATTATTCTTTTATTATGTCGACAAATTTCTTTGAAAAAAAACCAAACATTGGACTTTGAATATGGCTAGAAAAATGACAAGCTACACACTGAAAAGCTCTAGTTTTAAGACAATACAATAATGATAATAATCCTTATGAGTAGTAGTATTACACATTATGGTATTGCTGTTACTGTTACACACTTTATCACATCATTATCTAACAATAACAATAATAATAATAATTGAAGTAGCCGACTCTCTGACTAACTAAATCTATGTTTACTGAATTCTTCATCTTTGTCCTAATACATTTCATCAAGTGTACTTTCGTTTGGTTTTTTTTTCCTATTAGACAGGAAATGTAAAATGCAATTTTTTTAAGACAGACCATGATAATAATGTCTATAATGCATACACAGATTGTAAGTTTTAACAGTTTCCGGATAGTGACTTGTTTTTTTTGCTTTCGTTAATATTTTATTCTATCTGTTCTCATATATAATTGTGTATACTGTATTAAAGTCATTTGTGCTTATTATCATCCGTAAGTGTACTATGAATATTAACAAGTCAACAATGTGTCTTGTTGAATGTGATTATTGTAGGTCAGCTAAAAATCAATTCTTGAAGTGAATAATACCGTTCAATAATATTAAATTAGATTGGATTAGAAATTGAATGATGTTATCCTGAGTTCGGCAAAGGGTTTAACATCAAAGTTACAATGTTAAGTTGATCACTCGATATGCTTGAATGCTATAACGAGTTCACCTTAGTCGGTAAACGAGAGCGAGAATAATGATCAAATGACACGATAGGCTATTTGAATCCGTTGTCCCGTCTAAATGAAGAAAGAAGTCTTGATATGGCGTAAAAAGTGGATTTTACAATCAACCGGAAAATCGAGGTCGACTAGCACACAAATTGAGTTTATTTATACATGATAGAAACGTCCTTAAGAGAGCCACAAAAATAGCGTCCTAAAATAACACATCAACCAATGACAGTCACGGATTTTCCTGGCGGGAAATGTAATCTCAAGGTCAACTGATCAGCCCATGAATACAATCCAAAATTTAGGACCTTTTCCAAGTGAGTTCTGAGGATCTAACGTCCCGAACACACAAAACAGATAATACAGGTTCAAATCAGTTTTTAGTGTTCTTGACTTGTTTCGAACAATATTTTCTAACTATTTCGTTTAGTTTAAGCCAAAATGTTAACAACGGCTTATAACTGAAGGTATTCTGTGAAGGCAATGATATTAAATTTAAATGAATCTTAACTGGTTATTAAATAGATAATTTTCTTATTGAAATAGTAATTGTAATTCTGAATAATTTATCTCAATATACAGATGATTTATATTCAATGAACTCAAAAGCGAATTCAAAGTATTTATCGAGAATATGTTGAATACTACTGATATATACAATTTAAGTAGTGTATACTTATATGCATAAGCTACTTTGAAGTAGATGACTTTGTTCATTACTAATTTATATTGAACTTAGCAATTTTTTTTAAATTTCAGTTACCTACTTATTCAACACATATAAGCGAACAATATTACTGTTTTCGATTAGATCGTCATCAGGCTTTACTCTATAATATACATGAATGTTTATATGAAAATGTTAAACCAATCAAGGCAATTTGAGTAATAATCACAATGAAATGTAAAAGGCAAAAGTACAAGTGGATAGTAGGAAGATAATGTGTACTGATAGTAGTAAGAAAATTTATAAAATATGATAACTAAAGTAGGTGAAAGTGGATGAATAGAATTCAAATAATCATCAAAAACATCAAAAACATTACGTAATAAGCAAGTGTGTAAAAATAAAAATAAAATAAAAAATTAAAAATATAATGTCCATCGTTAGTTACGTCATATCCGGCCACGGAAGAGACAGGGGTGTCACGAATTTCTTCTGAACACATAAATTAGGGTTGAATGTACGTATTCCTATGGCCTCCGCAATGTGTAGGAGACTGGATCGAACTCCGTTGGGAAATGATGAAGGTATACGATAGATTACCCGAAAAGATCTAGA